CAGGTTCCTTTTTCCTATCAACCTCTATGTAATAGAGATGGATATTTCCTGTCCAGCGTATTTATACCCCCAGTTTCTACGGTTCTTTTATTCCCACCAGAGCCCACGGACTCTTCCTTCAAGAGAAAAGGCTGAGCAGCAAAGAAGTGAAGCAGGGCCCAGGATAGAGCAGGGATTCTACTGGCACGACTCACTTGCCTGATTCCAGCAGATCTTTTGGGCCCTGGAGAGAACAGAGAGCACAGGTAAACTACAAAACTCAGCATAAGGTATCAGTAGAGGGGGTTGGATTTTGGGGTGATGGCAATAGAGAGCTTCCTGGGAGGAATAAAATTCCAGTGAGTTCATTGCCAAGCCCCTCCTTTAGCCCTCACAGAGATAAACCAGCTGTTACCCAAAGCCACATCAGGACTGTATTTCAAAGCCTTTTACTGCTTCACACAGGTAAAGCTGTGTCCCCTCTGGAAGGGAAAGGAGCAGCTGGCAGATGGTGGCTTGACCTAGTTCGGTGAGCCCACAGCAGAGCTTTGCAGAGATGAGCAGGGCCAAGTCTGGGAAATGCTGGCGTCACTCAGCCCTGAGTAGTCATGCTAAGGGACCAGCAAGGTGTGGGAGACAAAGGTGTGGGAGACAAAGGGCAACACAGAAGAGAGAAAAATGCCCCAAGGGCTGGCCTATGAGGAAGAGCTTTGCAAAGGGAGAGGACCTGTACCAGCCCTGAGGCACAGCAGCCCTTAACCTGCAGGCGTCCAGTTTCCCATGTCAGTGTTGCCTGCAGGATATGATATTTGGTGGATTATTTTTAGATTAACCTGCTGAAGATCTTGTGGGCCTTGTCCGGAAGTGGGAACTTCCAAAGCAAAACCAGCATTGACAAGTAATAGAGGAGCGAGAGCTGCCCTTTTCCTCAGAGCTGGAACCAGATGCACGAGAGCTGGCAGAAGCTTAAGACATGCTGAGACTGCAAACATCGCTGGCTGCAACAAGCAGAGAGATTATGCCCAGCTTTGTGAGGATGCAAAATCTGGGAAGTCTCAAGGGAGAGGTTAGGACCTCAGCATATCTTTATTTGCACGGAGACACATGGGAGAACTGCGCCAGCACGTGCAGGGGGAAGCTGCTGGGAGGCTGAGCTCTGCTGGCACCCCAGGATTGGGGAAGCCAGAGGTTACTGGCAAAGCTTTGATATCAGGGCTTCATCAGCTATGATGCTACACCTCTGGGCTCACATCACCTTTCAGGTAATTCCAAACAAATATGTGATGTTTTGTTCCAAGTGCAACCTGGAGCCCAGCTTATGTTTTGTCTCCCCTATAGGTCTCCTCCTAAATCATCTTGCTGCAGCTCTGGCTCCTAAAGCCTTATTAAACAAACCTTTGCTCTTTAAGGCTGGGAGACCCAGGGGGCTTGGGGACGCTGATAACCCAGGGATGCACCGCTCCGGTGAGACAGCTGCACGGGGTACACCGGCAGGGGAAGGATGGAGGATTTGGGAGCAACGGGGCTGAGGCGCATTTACTGCCTGCCTATGGAGGACCAGCATGGGGTTGCTCTGCTCCCCATTGGCTTTGGTGCTGGGGTCTCTCCCAGTCCCTTTACGTGGGACTACAGACCCACTTGGCAGTGCTTGGGGTACACAGGGGTCTGCAGATGTAGCTGGCCTTGTCAGGATGCTCAGGGGACACGCCTGCTGTGGCCAAGAAGGGCTGACAGGAGGAGCTACCTGTGTAAGCCTCCAAAAAAGGTACAACTGGGAGCAACGCAGAGGGGGAACGGGCAGACAGTGGCTGGCCCCCTGAGAGGGAGCATGTGTGGTGGCCACAACTCCCAAAGTCAGGGAAGCCCCGCTCTCCTCCTTAGGGCAGCGAGGCCCCCTTCCCCTGACCCTCCTGTCACTGTTGGGTGTGATGCCCTGCTGTGAGTCCCTGCCAGTCTGGGTAGATGAGGAGGGTGCAAGGACTCTCCCCTCCAGGGACAAGGAAGGAAGTTGGTTCTGCCCCAGGCAGATTTTAGCCCTAATTACCACTCTTGACAAACTTATTTTTATTAATTAACATCCTTGGGTTAATGTATCTTCCTTTTTAAAAGTTTTATACTACTGCAGTTAAACTTTTACTGTTAAAAACAATATAGAAACAATCATGTATGTCCCTTGAGTGCCACACACAGTTCTCCTTAGCCTCAAAGTGCGACCAGCCAGGCTGAAATGGCATGCCAGGATGGGGAGAGCCTGCATGGATCAGGACAGGCCACTGGAGCCAGAGTGCCATGTGGCCCATGCAGATGCTGAACAGCATGGGAAACGGAACAGCGAGTCGTCCCCCCCTCCATGAGGCAGCCAAAGAGGAGCTTCACAGGCCATTGCTGGGGCAGAGCCCACCTAGGGCTATAAGTGGAAATGGGGTCCAAAAGGGACACAGCAAGCTCCTACAGGATATGCCCAGCTGCACCTCACCCAGCCCATGCCATGCTGCACAGTGGCAGTGTGGGGGGCCACATCGCCTCCACACCCACCACCAGCTTTCCCTGCCACAGTACCACTGCCACAGGACCTGCCCCGTCCCCACATCCTTGTGCAAGCCCCAGGCAGTACCTGCATTATGACTTTGAGGGGGCCTGCCCCGACTCTGTGATGCCATGCCAGACATGAGGAGCTGCCTTGGATCCCAACACCTGCTACTTTAGCTCCACTCTTGTTCCTCAGTGCAGGATAAACCACAGGTGACCTCATTTGATGGTATTGAAACCTTTGCAGCTCTTGCCCTCCAGTCTTTTGCTTGAGTCTTTCAAGAACAACCCTTGCAGTTGACTTAATCCCATGCCCACAATCATGTTGGTTCACCCTTAGGGTTTCCAGCTGTATGCACTGCTCCAAGGTACAGCTTGCACGGAGCAGCACAGGACACATTTGGCAGTGAGCCTCAGCTCCCCTGCAGCAGGGGTGGGAAAGGGAAGAGGAAGAACCCTGGGGCACTGCTTAAGGCACACAGAAACAAGGTCTGGGGCTGACTGCCAGGACCTGGCTGAGTGAGGAAAGTAGGAAACAGCAGCACCCACAGCCATCTTGGTAAGGGCCACCAGCTCCCTACGCATCCCAGGATGTTCCCAGTAAGGGACAGGGCCCCCAGACCAGCCTGCCCCCATGCCAAGTGAATGAGCCTCAGTGGGGTGTTTCTTAGGTGGAAAGGTCCACAGGTAGCCTGTCACCACTGCCCTAACCTTGCATCAGCCCAGCCAGAGACAAGGAAACCCACAGGGCAGTGTGCCAGACATTTGGACTGGGATGAGAACAGGATGAGGATGGTGAATAGGAAGAAGTACCAGTCCTATGCCATGGTGTGGAGAAGAATAGTTCCCCTGGGAGTCTCCCAGGACCCACCTGAGCTCCAGCACAGGGGTAGCCTCCAGCCTGGGGAGCAGCTTGATCCTGACCTGCTAGTTGCCCATTTCCATCCTCACACTAAAGGCAGCCCCTCGGGTGGTGCAGGAGTTGGTGCTGGGGACAAGCCCTGGGCCACCAGAGGACTGCCCTCCTGCAGCCTGGGTGGGTGCCCCTGGAGAAGAGCCCTGCCTGCAGGTGCTGGACAGCAGACCAGAGTGCTCATGCTGCCAGCTCCTGCCTCTCACCACCAGGTTTTATTGAGCAGGGCAAGGCTTGCAGATGGCTGTAAGTGAGGACTCCTTATAACCCAAATTCCCTCCCCTTCCCCATGAGGAGGGCTTCCCAGGCAAGCACCCCCCTGGGCTGCCCCGTTCCAAGGCTGGGACAGACGCAAACCTGCAGCCTTCCCCACCCTAGGTTTCCTTCCTCCCCAGCTGCACAACACTGGCAGGACAGAAGTTTTGCAGCTGCAGCCCTCCAAGCCACCTGTGCTTGCCCCCCACATCATGCCATTCTCAGCCAGGTCCAGCAGCACATCCACCAGCTCTTCTCCTTGTTGCCCCCAGGATGCCCTTGAACATCAACACACAGCTTGAGCTCCTCATCTTCGGCCCCAGGCCTGGTCATGGGTCCTTTTATCCTGCTGTCAGTGGTGCAGATGGGGCAAAGGAGTCCTTGGTTCCAGGATGCAGTACCACCAGGGCCAAGCAAGAGTCCAGTCAGGTCTTTCCTGCCAAGTACTGCTCCCCACCACTGCTTGGTGGGGCACAGCTCTGCAAGTCCCCCCACTGGGGAGGAAATGCAGCTGGCTCAAACCCAAGCAGCAGGAGTGAGGCCGGGGGCAGAGCGGAGGCTACCTGCGTGGCATGCCACATCTGCAAAGAGAGCATGGCATGGGGTGAGCACCACCGGGACTGAGGGAACACTAGGACCTACCCTCCAGGCTCAACTACTCTGCCCCAGGTCCCCCCTCTCTGTGCCTGGTCCCTCCGGGACTGAACTGCAGGAGTGGGGACCACAGGCAGCCACTGGAGGAGAGAAGGTGATGGGGCTGTGCGCACTGGCTGACCCAAGCAGCAGGCTTCAGACAAAACAGGGAAATGCAACAGGAAAGTGCACCATACCCCAAAAACATCTGCAGTAAGAGTCCAGTTTGTGCTGTTACAGCAAGCAGTTTGAGAGAGTCAGCTAAATATAAGGAGGGAAAGGGTAGAGTAACCCAAACAATGACCAGCCAAGGACAGCAGGAAGGACATGGCTGGCAGCAAGATGAGGCTGAAGCTGTAAATCCATAGATCCAGGAAACCCAGTATGGCTAGTGATGGCAATAGAGCTACACACCATCAAGTCATCCAGTCCACCCATACCCACCCTGAGTGGGACTGGCCAGCTTTGAGCAGCTGAGCCTGGAGACTGCTGAGCACCTATTGAGCTTTCACTAAAAGGCCCATTTTCCCGCAGCCACCCACTGTCCCCTCCATTCTGCTTTCTCCTGTGCCTGCTCTGCACAAACCCCTCACTGCTCACAATACCAGTAAAGACAAAGGTTTAACAAAGCTGCTCACACCAAAGAAATGAGCCCAGAAGACACCACCCATACCTGCCTTTGCTCACTTACACTTCACAGTCTTTACGTCTCTTCTTGTCTTGTCTTCTCTTACCTCGGCCCTTGGACCTCCTCCTTCAAAAGGAAAGTATGACAAGGGAGATTAATGTGTGGGAGATGAGACCCACAACCCCTGCCAGTAATGCTGCCCCAATGTCACTTACCTACCCAACCTCATCAGGTCTTGACGAGGTCTGCAAAGAGGGAAAAGGACAGAATGAAATGGCTACTTGTGCAGTGCTGTCTGGTGAGCTGCTGCAGGCGGTTTATTGAGACGACCCAGTGCACAGCACAATCTACCTGTTACCATTTCTGCCTCAAACAGACCCAATCAGACTTTTCTCCACATTATCAACTCCCCAGCAAGGAGCTGATTGCAGTGGGCAGAGAGAGGGCAGAGACAGAAAAGGGGCAAGGGATGGTCAGCTTTGGTGATGTGACATTCTGTGCATGAGGACAAGAAGCACAGGTCCTGTTTCAGCTGCTCTCAGTGACAGCTTTCACTGTTCAGCTAGTTAAAGTGCAACGCCCTGAGCAACACGTGGGATTTGCTGGAAAGTCTCAGTAGTGATTCTCAGACAACACCCATAACAGACTTGGCTCAAGCATCCCCTACAGATGCCAAGGCCAGGACATCCACCACGCCTACACTAAATTTCAAAGAGAGGCCATGTAGAGGTGTGGAAGGCAACTTAGGGAGAAGCCAAAAGGTGCTGCAGAAGCAAGAAGTCTACACAGAATCAAAGGCAGCCCGTACAAGTGCTTGCTGGAGATCCCCTGGGAGTTACCCTAGGTAGGAAAACCACAACAGGCTCAGGAAATTCCCTGCATGGAAAACAGCTGGAAGAAAAGTTGGGGGAAGTAACACATGTGCTTCTTCCCACTCTGTCTTCTGCATCCACTGACAGATGCTCCAGAGATGGTGCAGAGCTGGACGGGCCCTGGGTCTGCTCCAGCACAGCCGCTCTTATAACCGCAGGGGAATAACAGCCTGGGGATCCTCAGCCTCTTCTTCCAGGCAAGGATCCCATCTGACAGCTGCCCAGCAAGACACTCAGTCCCCAGTTTTTGCAATACTGAATCACCCTGGTGTCATGATGGAGAGCAAACGCCAGGACCCCCTATGCAAGCGGTGCCGGAGAAGCTCTGTAGCATGGAGAAGCTACAGGCTTTAACAGAGCCGCTCCCTGCTCCTGCAGCCTCCAGGCAGAGGCCCCATCCTACCCAAGCTCTCACCACTTCTGGGACACAATGAGCACCTCAAGGGGTTAACTATGTGCCAGGAGTCTGTGGCAGATTGGTGCTGCACATCCATCCCAGGCCCCTGCTGCATATCCACACAAGGCTCATGCTGCACATCTTAATCTTTCATTTGTTGGCTTGGATACAAACCCCTGTTCCCTGGCCCTGGATGGGGCAGCCACCCTTAAATGGAAGCCCAAGACCTAGCCCTTCAGCTTTACCTTTGAGCCATGGTCACTCTCAGGTATGCCAACCCACGGAGCTCCCTGCTGAGCAAACCACCTTGGGCATGCTGCCCCACACCACACACCTGCCTCAGAGCCACCAGCCTCGCTCCGTTACCCACAGGCAGCTCCTCTGGCCAGAGGAGCACACACCAGGCATGCCAAGGTGGCCATAGGGATGGAGGGCACAGCAGGGGCCCAGAGGGGGCCGCAGCAGCTCCAGCCCTGCACCTGACCTGGCCACAAGACACTACAAACCTCCGTGGCTGCGAGGAGCAGGCTGCACAGGCACCACACAACCTGCAGCTGAGCAAGGGCCATAAGCGCCACCAGACCGCAGCGCAGAGACAGTGGGGGCGTACAGCACGGCCAGAGTGCCCCTCAGGCATCCTTGTCCCACACGCAGCACTAGCTGGCAGAGTTGCTTCTGCTGGAGGGGTGCAGGGGTGTGAAACAAGCCCAGGGATCCCTACCTGCACTCGCATTGTTTGTGCTCGGTGAATGGCATCTCTACGTAGGGTGCCTCCCCATTTGGCTTTATCTTCAGGAGCTGAAAGAGGAGCAAAGGTTACTTCCCAGTCGGCTGGTGGCAGGAGGGGGCTGGAAGGCCTCCGGCCGCACTCGCTGCCTCACCACCCCAGCCTCCTGGGCAGATGCCTGTCTAACCTGTTCCTCAGGACCCCCGGCAGCAGAGACGCCAGCGCTGCCTGCAGGCAGTGCTGGCCAGGCCTGGCCTGGCCACTCCAGCTGCTTGAGAGGCTTTGCTAGTGCCCCACCATGCTTTCAGGGCTGTAATTTAAGTCCCACGGTCATGGGATTTCCCAGATTTAGTGATATTACTGTCTCTGCCTTCATGGAGAGCTGTCACGTATTTGACCACTTCACACTTCTCCCTTCTCTGATGGAAATCTCCCCCAGCCATGTTTTCCAGACACTATTGCTGCTGCCTCCTGCTGGCTCCGAGGAGGAGTTTCCCGAAACACTGAGCCTAGATTCAGTACCATGGTGCCTCCCCAGCCCAGGGGTGTGGGATTTGCTCTGTCACAGCCCAGGCTGGAGTACAGGTTGTGTACTTCACAGGAAGGGGCTTCACAGGATGTGTTCATCACTGGTGTGATCCACTCCAGCCCCTGCAGAGGGGCCGGGTGTTGCCATCCCATGGATGGCAGTGGGATCCCTCCTGCGGAGGGAGACCTGTGCTTAGGGAGTTGCCTCCTGTTTGTGTCAGGCTCTCACTCCACCTCAGTCAAGATTTTTTGGAGAAACCCACCCTGCCTTCTGATGCACTTGTAACATGCAAAGAACCAAAATCACTAGTAAATCACTTTATTGCAGACACTCTCTAGTCCCTCACTCCCAGCAAAGCAGAGCTTTCCCCTGCTCCTCGCAGCAGCAGCACGTTTGACCTCCAGCAGTGCGGCAGGTCTGCAGTGTGAGGACGTGGACTGCCTGGCACACACGAGGAGCCAACCGGCAGCTTGTTCACAGCCCACCCCACTTCACACAGCTCCCACAGCAGGGACCAGAAACTGGCACAGCCCTCCACAATCACCATGCCCCCAGCACCCAGCCACTGTCATCACCACTGCGGGCATCTCCTGACACAAGGGCCTCGCTTCTCCTGTGATCCAGGGCAGTGCCTGCTTTGCCCAAACAGGCAGAGTTACGGGCAACTGGGACACCCTCAGCCCCACCGCAGGAGAGGATGGGAAGCAGGGAGTGAGGCCAGTACCACCAGGGGTGCCATTTGCACTCAAAGAAAAGCCCAAAGAGCAGGTGGAGGGACCTCAAGTATACACTTGAGCAGTCCTGAGTAAGCCCCCCCCCCCTCCTTGTTACAATCTCTGGAGGATGTAAAGCTGCAAGTTCACCCTCTCAGCACTTGGTGAGGAGCCCACCACTTCCCTGGCACAGCCAAGGCCCAGCAGCTGCCGTGCTTACCTGCATGGTGACCGTGCTTGTCTCCACAGGGACGCAGCGGAGACCCTCATCCCCACAGCAGCCCCCACAGCGCTGCAGGGAGACGCAGGAGGGTCTAAAAATGTACTCCACCTCGTTGGGGAACTCAGTAACAACGTCCACCAGCTGCTCCAGAGGCCGGCAGAAACTACGATTCCATATCTCCCGAAAAGTCAGGACTGCAAGACAACGTGGTGGGGGGCTATAAGGAGGCACCTCGGGGAGGCTGAGCCCAGCTGACCCACTGCCGAGGCAGGGGCAGAGCCCACGGTGGGATCCTGAAGCTGTCACGAGGGCAGAGGGAAGCAGAGGACCTCCCGGCAAGCCCATCACCACACTGGTGCAGGGGCTCACAGGACTACCACGGCCAGCCCGACGGGCTCTTTCTCCACCTTCCCGCCAGCTCTATCTCCTCTTCCCCAGG